ATGTAGTCTGCTAAGTGGATTTTATAATGAGAACTCAAGAAAGAGAAATTCCAGCTGAAATTCATTGGTTCATTCTGGAATTAATAGCTTTTATTGAAAATTTCTCATTTGTTAGGTTCTATTTTAGGCACCTTCAAATGGGAAACATTCAATAAAAACTAGTATTTGCTAAATGAATGGATGATTTCCAGGTGGAAGGAGTGAAATTAATGACAATTTTTTTTATTATTATTATTTTTTTCAAAGGCACTGTGGAAAGGGTTATGCGTACTGAGATTAAAAACAAAAAAGTATATTTAAATAATATAAAGAAAATCATACTGATTAGATTATAACAAACGTGAGAGATTTAAGGGTTCAATTTTATGTGACTGTAAGGGTCAAAATACACAAGGTCTTTTAGGTTGAAATAAGGATCTTTATTAGATTCTAACTGCAATAAGAATCCATTTTAATATTTAAAGTAAGGGAGTGACTCACCTACAATTGATTGTTTTCTCTGTGACATAGGGCAACAAACTCAAGATTCAGGGCAGAGATCAATAAACTATAGCATTAAGAGTGAGCCAAACAAATGTCCTGATGGCAGGTATGTTTTCAAAGAAATTATTATTTTTTTCCTATCTTAACTTTCTTAGAGGAAGAAGAAAGAAAGCTAATACGTTTCATAGAAAAATATTTGGAAATGATTTCACTTGATTTTTTTCCCAAAGCTTCCTGAATGTTATTAACAGATTTTCACAAATCTTTCCTGGATATTAAAGCTTTTCCAAAATTGCTTTCATTCTGATTAGAATGATGATAATGTTTTAGATTACAAGAATCACTCCAGCTATTTCAAACGTAAACTAAAACCAAACTCAACCCACTAGCAGCACAATGCTTTAACCACCAGAGCTTCCTTTTAAACACAATGGGCTTTAATGTGGAAAACTAGGTATATACAAATTTTTTTGAAGGGCAGAGGATCATCTGTTAAGCTAGGAATCCAGAAATGGTTCACAGAACCACCTTGTATAAATTACTTGCCAAGTGACCTATTACTGAAACAGTGAGGAAAGTGGGGAAATAAAGACCTCCTTTGTCAGCTTTTTGCTCGAAGAACACACCAATTAACCATGATTTGCAATCAGGAGAATAATCCACAGCACCTCTCAATTGCTGCACTCCTCATTAATATATTTTCTAAATTCAAGTTTTATATCCATGCATCTGATTGTCAGAATCTGGAATCCTAGATGCAAAGTCCTAGAAAATCTGCTTATATGTTTGTAGCTTCTTTGAAAACAAAACAAAACAATATAAAAAAATAATGGTAAAAATATTATGAGAATGGTTTTAAATTCTGGAATTTGAGAAAAACCAGACATGAAGACTTGAAACTGAAAAGAAAGATTAAGTTATATTTGTAACATAAAAATAAAAACATATGTGTAAGCAAAAGGCAAGAGTGCTACAAATCTGCTATCACATATGAAAGTGTAGTTTCTGCACAACTATATAATTTCCATGGACACTGGAGGTGAAATCTTCCATGAGGAGGTTATTGAGTAGACATGTAGTCTGCTAAGTGGATTTTATAATGAGAACTCAAGAAAGAGAAATTCTAGCTGGAATTCATTCATTCATTCAGGATGTATTTTATATGTTTAGCCATACCATGATTATAAACTATAAAACTTTCAAAACTAGAACTTAAAAGAATGGGATGCAATAATATATGTATAGAAATCCTACTACTGTTCTCATACCAATAAATCTTCAGGCGCATCCCCAGGGTGAGCACTCCCAAGTTGGAACTACTGTGCAGATCCTCTTCTGAATCCATCTTGAATTTCTGGAAGTTCCCTGTTATGTATGGCTTCAACCTTTTTAAATTATCTTCAGCATGTCCTTTCTGACCCTAGAACTGTAGAGGGAAGTATCCATGAATAAAAATAAAAGAAAAAAACTATAACTAAGAAAGCTGATATAAACGATAAGTGGTTATTCCCTTTACTACCTAAAGAACTTCAATTGTTGTTCTTGTTATGTGCTCTTGAGTCGGACCAAACTCATAGCGACCCCTCCTTGGGTTTCCGAGGTGGTATCACTAAGTGGGGCAATCTACTTCCGTAGTGATACTGCCTCGGAAACCCAAGGAGGGGTAGCTATGAGTCGGGTCCCACTCGATGGCACATAACAACAGCAACAACAATCACTAAGGAAGTAGATTGCCCAACCTTCCTTCCGAAGAGCAGCTGGTGTGTTTGAACCGCCAGCCTTCTGGTTAGCAATCAAGTGTCTTAGGCACTACGCTACCAGAGCTCCTCAAAGAACTTCAATTAGTGAATATGAAACAGATATATTCTCAAAGGAAGTATGGGCAATAAAAACCAATAAGCAATTGACCAAGGTAAGGGTTTATATTAAGTCTTGTAAACATTAGAAAAGATGGTTATCCTCAGAAACCAACCAGAAAAAAACATAGATTCTCATTAGCATTTGTAAGAATGTTATTTATTTTCAACAAAAGAGGACAAAATAAAAATTATATCTTTTCTAAATCTATCAAAGAGAGAATTAAGCACAGAAATCTTATTATATTGAACTCCAAAGAGAGAAGACATTTTACAGCTTTCACACCTATGGGAAGTGACTAATCTGGTATGGGGAAGTATAGGAGTGGTTTTGCCATAGGCTGAGATACTTTGTAAGGGTGAGGAGAAACAAGGTGAGTTTTAATGACATATGGGATCTACACAGATTGTTATTGTTAGGTGCCTTCAGTTCAGCTCTGCCTCCTAGTGACCCCCATATTCAGTAGAATGAACACTGCCTGGACCTGTGCCATCCCCACAATTGTTGCTGTGTTTGACCCCATTGTTCAGCCACTGTGTCAGTCCATCTTGCTGAAGGTCTTTCCCTTTTTTCTGACCCTCTCTTTTACCATGCATAATCCTTCTACAGGGACTGGTCCCTTCGGACCACATGACCAGAGTTGTTGTTGTTGTTATGTGCTGTCAAGTCGGCCCCGACTCATAGCGACCCCTCCTTGGGTTTCCGAGGCAGTATCACTACGGAAGTAGGATTGCCCAACCTTCCAGAGTAGGTGAGGTGAAATCTGGCCATTCTTTCTTCTGAGGAACATTCTGGCCACACTTCTTTCAGAACAGACTTAGTCATTCTTCAGGCAGTCCAGGGTATTTTCAGTACTCTTCAACACCATCACAGTTCAAAGGCATCAACTCTTTTTCAGTCTTCCTTATTCATTGTCTAGATTTCACGTGCAAATGTGAATGATAAATATATTGGATAAAGTGATCAATATTTTAAGAGAGAAGTGTAACCCCAAATGTATTGGATTTGTTAGAACTGAAAATGATAAAATAAAAAGAATTTCTTAGATGAAGTACAATTTGCACACTGCTGATAAAATTAATAATAATTGTGAACATGGGTCAATAGAAATAATCAAATTTGAAGGGCAATGAGAGCAAAATTTTAAAACATAAACAGGGTCAATATATTTTGGGGCAACATAAAAGAGTTTTAATACATGTGCAATTGAATTTAAGATAAAAGAGAGATAAAGAATGGGACAGAGAAAATATATGAAGAAATTACAGAGAATTTAACAAATTTTATAGCAAAATCAGCTCATAGACCTAGGAAGTTTGGTAAAATCCAAACAATATAAATAGAAAACCTTAACCAGGCCTACAACAATGTAACAGATGTTAACTAAAGATGAAAATAAAATCTTAAAAGTGGCCAGAGGAAAAAGAAAGTTCAGAGGAACAACAATGGGAATGATGGCTGACTTGCCTTCAGAAACAATGCAAACCAGAAATCAATGAAATGGTGTTTTTAAAGTTCTTAAAGAAAGCAAGCAGAACAGCAGCAGCAACAACAACAAAAAACCCCAAAACCAAAAAACCTATCAAGATAGAATTCTATACTCAGTGAGAGTAAACTTAAAAAATAAAGTTGCAATCGGCACTTTAATATTCAAAGAAGGTGAGATAAAAGTTGTTGCCAGCAAACTCTAAAGGAAATTCTTCTTGATGAATAAAAAATATGCCAGATGGGACTTGGATTCACAAGGAGAAATGAAAAGTACTGAAATAGTAAATAAGTACGTGCATATGGAATGAGTCTGTTTTTATCTTTTCTAATTTACTTTAAAAGATAATTGACTACTTACATAAGAAATAATAAAATACACTGGTGCTTATAATATACATAGAACTAAAACAGAAGCTCTGGTTATGCAATGGTAAGCTGCTACCCAAAAGATTGGGGATTCAAACCCACCAGCCTCATCACAGGAGAAAAGACTCAGCAATATGCTTATGTAAAGATTGCATCCTTGGAAACCCTATGGGTCAGTTCTATTCTATTCTACTGGATTGCTATGCGTTGGAATTGATTTGACAACATCCAACAACTACAGGAAGTAAAATATATAACAGAAATTACTCAAAGGACTTAAGGAAGGATAAAAGAATTATATCTTTGTAAAGCTTTTACATTATCTATGACATATCCTAAAATAATAATTCCAGGTGAACTGTGGTGTGTTAAAGATACATACTCTAATCATTAGAGTAACTACAAAGAACAAAACAAGAGGGTTTAGTTATAAAACCTTTGGAGAAGAGAAAATGAAATACTAAGAGATACTCAACTGATTTAAAAGAAGGAAAGAAAAAAACCCCCGCAAAGAACAAAGAAGTGAAGATAGAAAACAGGCACCAACGGTGAAAGTGAACTCAATTGTCAACAATTGCATTAAATATAAATGGACCAAACACACCAATATAAAAGGATGTTTGTTCTCAAAAACCAAAGGTGCAGATTTTTGGACTGTATAATAAAACAAGATTCAG